ATTTTTGCTCTTTCCTGTCCCAGCTCCGCGCGTGTGAGCCGCGGCCTCCGCTCTCCCCGGGCAGGGCTCCCCGCGGGCGGGTTTTGCAGTTTCGTAGCGCTCGCGCCGTCGAAGGGCGCGCGCCGCGCGCGTGCTCGGCCCTTAATCATATCGAAACTGTTTAGAGAGACTTTCGAGAATTGTTATTGATGGAAGGGCCAAGACGGCGCTGGGGGATTTTTTTTTCCCTCTCTCAATGAAATTTCGAGGTGGAGGGGGAGATACTGAAGAGACTTAAGTGTTTTTTGTCTTCTTGAAGGCAGAAGAAGCTGGATGTTTCCTGTATATGCATTACCCTTGAAGTACAACAGTGGCTTTGTTCCAACTTTCCTTAAAAATACTGTTTTAGAGTGGCAACAAATGCCAGGTGACAAAAGATGATACAGTTTAAAACTGCTCCATTTTCCCACCTCATGTGGAAATTCAGACTTTAACTGGTCTTGTCATTCACCCTGTAATTTGTTTAAGGTTCTTCTTAGAACGTGGGGTCAGGTCAGAGATGTTCTATCTCCCTCTCTTGCCTTTTTTAAATTATTTTTAAATAGGACTCACATTTTATAAACTGTGGGTTGGGATATCGGGCACTCTGGAAGTTGCCTGCAGCTCCTAGGAAGCGTGATGCGGGTGTGGGAGCGGAACGGTGCAGCCCTGACTTCCAGTCTTATCGCCCTCAAGGCCTCATTCGTGTGCCAGGAAATTCTGAGAATAGCCAGCCCGATGAATCCCTGCTCTCACATGTGGTTGTGGGAGGAAAATCAAATTTTGTATTAATCAGCTTTTGGCTGTGGCAGGATCCATTTCGTTTTTGTGTGCTCGGGGTTCAGGTGTCTCCTCCTGTTCAAGCGTTCAGTCCCGTGTGCCTGTGTCTGTACAGATGCACCTTGTGATTTCATATTTATGCAGCCGTTTTGCTGGCTTGTTGTGGCTTGGTGCTTTTCTGGCTGTTGTGTGTTTTCTCTGGCTAAGGAATTAAATGACGGGACAGAAATTGGTGTGAAAACGTTGAAAGGCGTTCGGAAGTTCCAGCAGATCGTTCCTTGCCGAGGGAATAGTGCGAGTGTTATGGATGAGGTCCCCTATTTAACTTCACTGCTCTCTCTTGGCATGCATGTGTAGATACATTCTGAAAGTTTGGCACTTGTTCATTGCTTTGGCACTTGAATAAAAAAAAATGGAGTAAGCTGAGCTATTATGGGATAGTAACACAGTCTTGATTAAACTGCTGAAAGCTCCTTTCTCTTCCCTATAAGCTCTGGTGGCTAAACTGCATGAATCGAGAGCCTTTGAAACCTCTTTGCATGGGCAGAGTCAGAAGGACGGAGTTAGAGCTGTGTTATCCTTCCGATTCTTTGCTGAAAGTTTCCTGTGTCAGGTGGACAGCGTGAATCATCTCTCGTTTTTGTTACTGGAAGATGAGCAATTAAGTTGTTTAGATTTCTTAACTTCTGCTTCTCTTTGCTCCTGATAAAGCAGGATCAAACTTCTGAGCCTGGAGAACTGGGAGGGATAGAGCAAAGGTGATGGCCGAGCAGAGCAGCGCAGGGTTTATGCTCATTGGAGGTGACTTCTGCTGAACTCCTAGTGTTTTTCTGCTCATATGTGGCCAAAATGGGCATATCCAAACTGGAAGGTGAGATGTAGAAGACCTGACAAACTCTTGCCAGATGAGATCTTCAAAGAGCGATATCAAAGCTAAAATTCACCCAGCAGAGAAAAAGCTCCTAGTATTAATGCTGCAAGAAATGCTGCAGAAATATATCCTGCTAAGAATTAGTTTATCTGCCAAGAATTTTCAAAGTGCAGGAAGTATTAAAAGTATAAGGAAAATCTAGAAATCCCCCAGAAGAAATTAGGTTTGTGTTTCCTCCTTGTTTTCCTGTCAGTGTTTTCTCCCTTTCCTAAACAGAGCACTGTACTTCAATGATATTAAAGGAGAAAATCTTGAATTTTTTTTTCCCTCACAAAAAATACTTTGATGTAACATTAAGTGCGATTTCACTTCCAGCTCGGGAGTGGGGTGGTGGAAGAAGAGTCCAAATAGCAAATTTCTCCAGCAAATGCCCCACAGTGCTGCGAGAGAGCAAACTGCCCGTGTTGGTGATAGCATCAGGTATGTAATTAGGTCAGGAGCAGCTCTCCAGACAATGTCTCGACACGTAGATCGAAATCTCGTGCATTCCAGAGGAAGCTCCAGGTGTGCGGATGCGGAGCACAGGGTCCTCCTCAGGATCCTTGCAGCATCCTCTGAGCAGCGCTAGCCCAAACGGCAGTAGCAGTTTTCTCCTTCAAAGGCTCTGATGGACGAGATAGAAATAACTCACGCCTACGTGTTTTCGCGTGATGCTTGTGATTTTTTTCTTTTCGATTTTTTGGGAATAATTCCCACCTTCATTGCAGTCAAGGTCCATTTTCTCGCCTTGCTGGTGGCCTTTGCTGACTGGCCAAATCCAGAACTCCGCAACCGGCGTTACGGAGTTACCTCTCACTCCTTTGGACTCTGTGTTGGCTCCCATCTCTTGCCGAGTAACCTTTAAACTTGCGTTTGAAGCTTGTGCCCAGCTTTGTGTCTAAATTCCCAGTCTGGTTTTTGATGTGTTAAGGTGTTAATCAGTATTTTACAGTTTTTGATTTCTTATTACCTGTTGTACCTGGAGGTATACATGACACCGTCCCGCTTTATTTCTTTACTCTCTCCAAAATTCTTCCTAAAAATTATTTTCAAGCTCAACACTCCAAAAAAAAGAAAAAATTCAAAATCTGTAATATTCTTTCTGCTTTTGGTCATTTTCATTGATTTTTTTTCTCATATATTTAAAATCATATAATGGGCAGTGCCAAGCTGAAGGGTCCTTGAGAAATAAAAAAGAAATTTTCCGTGCAGAAATTTGCATCTCATCTTTTTGTGCTCTTGGGAGAGGTTTATTGTCATGCAAATTGTTTACAAGAAGAGCTAAATAGAGACTTTGTATATTACAAGCAAAGTGATTTGTGGATTTAATAGCAGAAGGTTAGACAGAGGTAATATTGTGTGCTTGGTTGTGGCTTAAATTAAGAAATCCTTTGTCTTCCACATGTAAATCTTTAACCAAACTACACCTGCTCGTAGCCTACAGACTTGTGGAGTGTAGGAGCTTCTTTCTATCCTTTGTGGTGATTAATGCCTCTAAATTTTGCATTCTAGTACTTAATCATGTGAATCCTGTTTTTTTTCTCCTTAGGCAGCACTTGCCACAAATGATTCCTTTTAGCCAAGAGGCCTGCAGAGGAGCCGACCTCAGAGCCTACAGGCTCTTTATTTGTATGTGTGCAGTTCATGTTTGGTCTGATGTTTTGGCACGTTTGAACAGAATTATTTCCAACTGCAAATGAGATTCTCCTGAAATCCAAGCCCTAGTTGAGGAACTGGTAATACTAATGCTGTAAAAGAGCAGCTAGATTCCAGGCTGCTTTGTTACCCCATCAACAGCTCTTAATGAATTCTTAAGTAAAGCCCCAACAAAATAAGGAATGTTTTAAAAATGTATTTTTGTTAGAAACTTTTGGAATGGATTGAATCAAATGATTTAATCTCCACGTGATTCAGGGGTTGTGTGGCTTTATAGTGTAGCAATACACAGAACTGCCGGTATTGCATCATGATGCTGGTGTGATGACGCCCCAGAACGTGGATGCGTCTTGTTGTGCAGGTGCAGCGCAGGGGTACTTCGTATTTCTGCGAAAGAACCTGGACTGCAATAAATCGAGCCGTGAGCCCTTGGCGAAGGTGTGGTTTGTGCTTTAAAAACAGTTTTATTTTCAAGTCTTTGCAACTTAGTTGTTTTAGAAACTTTGAACTGGATATAAAAGATTTTCTGCATCTCATTCTTCCTATGACTTCTGTTGCTCTACTTGAGTTTATAATGCAAGTCTCCAGCTAGCGTGGCTCTGTTGTCTCCGTGATACCACCTTTTTATGAACTGATCCAAACAGCTGTCTGTTGTATGGTCAACTCATTTGGGGAAAATATGGTGCTTTGTCACTGTTCTTGGTCACTACTACTCTTCCATCGTCGTTTGGAACAGATAGACCTCCTGGGTCAGAAACACTATGCTGCATTATGTTGTCAGTATTCAACCCTGACTAATAATAAAATGTTAAAAGTGTTTAATTTATAATGCTTTAAGTAACATTTTATTAAAGAAGTTTCAGCTTTGGGTTTTGCAAAATGCAATAAATGTTTTTAAACTTCTAATTAAAGAGATGTTTACTTTTATTTATTTATTTTCTCCTAGCCCTGTTAAATAAAATCTTCGTGCAACTATTCTGGGATATTGCATGCAGTCCTGCTGTCAGTTTCTGCTGGTCAGTGACGTTTTTCATTTTACTTGTTAACTTTACAACTTGCAGTTTCGTACATCTACTTAGACATGTCTGCAGCCTTGAAGTGGCTTGTCTGCTATTTTTAATGCCTGGTGGAATTCACATGTATGATCTGCTAAAACTCAACAGTGCCTGCTAGGTTTCATTTTAGATGACTCACGTTGTTGCAGAAGTTTAATTTCTGCTGTTTCTGCAAAAGAGAAACTATTTCTGCATCTTTCCTGCTTCTCTCCTCCAACTTCCTCCCCTGCAGGGTATTTCAGGATCAAGGTTTCCTGCACTGCTTACTGCAACTGATTGATTTCCAATTATGAATGTGTAGGTACTCTGATACATCCTAAAGCCCTGTACGGTGTAGGGAGCACAGGCAAGATCACTCACTTGAGTTGCCTGTTGCAACTTTGTCCCAAAGCTTAGGGTAGACTATTTGCATGTGGTACAGAAGAGTCGCATGTGCCTGCTGTGGGAAGATAAATGTGCCTAGCTGCAGACTGTGTCAAAAAGGACAGGGCTGAGATTCAAACAGTATAAAATTGTTGGTTTGTTTGGATTGGCTTGATGAGGAAGTTGTTTGAAAGGTATTTTATAACTTTATTAATCAATTACTTCACTAGTGCTCATTTTCATGTGTTCCCTTTGCTATTTCAGTGGTGTCTGAGCTGTGATTTTTCTGGAACGTGCAGTGTAGTCCCTCCCACTGTTTGTTTTTTTGTTTTCTTCTCCCGTTTGAAGCAGGGTTTTTTCTGGCGGTTGCGAGTTGGGGCTTACAGATAGTACCTCAAAGGCATTTAGGTGAGAAGGCAGGTGCAAGTTCCTTCTTGTTCGGGCTACCAGTGGAAACTCCAGCATGGAACAAATGAACTACTTGCAGTTGTTTCATGCCGCGTTCAAAGTTCCTGCTGTTCATGTGATAAAGGGTTAGAATGAAATGAATTTTAGACTGTATCTATTTGATTATCATTCCTTCTGCTGAGGTATCAGGGAAGGATAGGGAAGCATTTACACATCACTTATCTCCAGCAATAGTCCCACAACGTGCCTAGGAAAGTTACTTATTGGTCTCTCATAGCATGTGTTTTTCCAATGCTCAGTATAAGCTTTCTTTATTGTAGCTCAAGCCTATTAAGTTCTGCTTGTTCTATCACTGATTAGTGAGAATAATCTGTTCTTGGCTTCTTTAGCAAAATTCTTCATGTTTTCTAATCTGTGATGGCTAATTATACTTCAAAGCTTTTCTTGCAAGTGCTACTTTCTGAACCTTTTATCTGGTGTCCTCTTAGTGCTGCAGCTTCTTGAGATCGAACTGATGCTGAATGCAGTGATTTATTTTTCTATCAAATAATATTACTGCAGTGCAGCAGTAGATATCTCAGTTTATTATAGAATTCTACCCTACTTTCTTTGTGCTAAACCATTTCTACAGTAGAATATGTAGTCAGGAAGTGTCAGTTCAGACGGAATATGTGTGTATGTGACCTACAAATGACAGAGTATTTTACTGTTGTATCTGAGGCCACAGTCTCTTTCCACTTGCAGGTACCTTCTAAAGACATGTCCCTTTTGCCTGTGGGAAACTGGCTGATTATGGCTAGACTGAGAATTTGGCTAATTTTACTCATATGATTTGCTCATAATTTACCCATATGCAGCCAGTTGTCACTGAGTTTTCAACTTATTCTGTCTCTATTTCACTATTGCTTTTCTAGCCTGTATGCTCTTTGTAATGGGTTTTGTGGCATCTGGCCATGATAATAAATTGTTAGCAATATTAAAAACTCTTGGTTAGGTTTACTGTTAAAATTGGTAGCATGGAGTGTACTTTTCCTAACTTTTCTTCTTGCTCTGTGCAGGTCTTCCTTTCTGGGTAAAGAATGCAGACGATAAAGTGCGTAGTTGTTGGAGATGGTGCTGTGGGCAAAACCTGTCTTCTCATCAGCTACACCACCAACGCCTTCCCGGAGGAGTACATCCCCACGGTGTTCGACAACTACAGCGCGCAAATGACTGTCGATGGGCGGACAGTTAGCCTGAATCTCTGGGACACAGCGGGCCAGGAGGAATACGACCGCCTGCGCACGCTCTCCTATCCTCAAACCAATGTTTTTGTCATCTGTTTTTCCATTGGCAGCCCCTCTTCCTATGCAAATGTGAGGCACAAATGGCATCCCGAAGTTTCTCACCACTGTCCTAATGTTCCCATCCTTTTAGTGGGCACCAAGAGAGACTTGAGAAATGACCTGGAAACGGTTAAAAAATTGAAAGAGCAAAGCTTGGCTCCCACTACCCCGCAACAGGGGACTTCACTGGCTAAGCAAATCGGAGCAGTCAAGTATTTGGAGTGCTCGGCATTGAATCAGGAGGGTGTTCGGGAGGTGTTTGCCGAAGCTGTGCGTGCAGTTCTGTATCCTGTGACAAAGAAGAACACAAGAAAATGTGTCTTGTTGTAGTTACCTCGGATAATGGGTGTTCGAAGCTGAATATTGACTAGAATCTTGGAGGTCTCTTTGAGTTAAATTGAAGATTTGCATCTTGCACTAACAGCTCTAAGCAGAAATGGTTTATGCAAAAAATATTCTTGCAGGCTTATTGCTTCAGGGAAACTGAAACAGAAGTGTGGGTTTTTTTTTTCCTCCCCCCTTCCACTGAGAGGTCAAACACCTACTTAATTTCTGAAGTTTTAGTCTCCAGCTCCTCCGGCGATCCCTTGGCTTCTGTTCTTATTTAGTGGAGGAAGAAAAAAAGAAGGGACTTCTTTGAAGCCAGTGTCCTTTATTAGACAACCATCAGTTACTGAACTTGCTGAAAAGCACAAATTCTGGTAACTTTGCTTTAAGTGTAGCTGCTGCTTTTCCTATCCCTTCTTTAATGATCAATTTAGTTTTAGAAAACAGAATTCTGGCTGTCCAAATGTTGTTTTGTCAATTTAAAGCTTGAAAACCATTTGTTTACATGCACAAATGCCTGTGATATTACTGAGCTTCACTTGGCAGTGAACTTGTGATTGTTTATATGAAAGTTAACATATGGGGTATTTAATCCAATGAGCAAGACATAGGGAACACCTGCAATAATTTTATTAATAGAAGTGGGAACTGATTTCTCTCAATGTAAAGAATTTAGGATAATGGTGGATCACTCAAATGAGTGTTCTTGTGCCGTTGAACAGAGAGGCAGAAGAGCAGTTTAGCAACAAGCCTTACGTAATCTTCTCTAAAGTGAATGAATGTTTTATTTCACTCTCCAATGAGATTTCACATTTTGAGAATAAAGTTACAGTTATCTGCTTAAGGTAATTGGGATGACGCTTCCCAAAACAAGCCTTTTGGTGTGATTCCTTTTGATGAATTCCAGAGACTTGTAGAAGCCAGGTTGCTCTCGAGGAATTCATGGCTTCACTTCTTACTGCTCTTGGAGTCACCACATGGGATTTCATGGCAAATTCCTTTGCTGTTTTTCTGGCAGATCATTGACCTAAATTTTGGAAGCTCTATTTACAGGAATCAGGAACCATTGTTTCTTCATGGCAACTCACTGATAGTTCCAGTTAAATTTTTAATGGTTAGCCAGTCACTGATAGATTTACCTGGACATTTTTCCCCATCTACCAGATGATCACCTAATATAAACTGTTTTATCTGATGTGCCATTTATGTACTGTTTAACTTTCTCTAGTGGCTATAGCAAATGGCTGCTGGCTTTTGTTTTCAGAATATGCACTGCTTTTTTTTTTTTTTAATGTGTGATTCTGTGACCAGCTGAGATAGGAGAGCATGAAACCTTCCTGAGACTTAACCTTAGAGCTTGGTGGTGTGAAAAGAGAATGCTTCCAAGATACCTTGTGTGAAACCAATGGTGCTGGCCTGGACTTTGTTACAGTCTAAATTGGCAGTGCTGTCTTTGTCCAGATGCCACCTCAACTGGTAATTCAAAAGTTGCCTTCTTAAGATTCCCACACATACAAAACTGTACTGTGTACAACCTGAGAAAAAGTCTCATTTTTTTATTTTTTTAGCAAGGTAACAGAAAATATATCAACAGGTTATTGGGGATCTTGTGTTAAATTAACCTTGGTTTATCTGATACAGCCAGAAATACCAGGTGGATAGAGACACATTCCCATTTGTGCCATCATTCCCCTCTGAAGAGGATGTGCCTTTCTTCAGCTAGTGTAACTGATGCCAACACTAACTACAATTTCTGGATATCTGATGTATGCTCATACTGGTAGTGCTTAGGTTGCTTCTGCAACCCAGCAATTAAAAACTGCAGTTCATCCAAATGTTGGTATATGTAGCTAGTGAAGCAACACTGAATTCCAAACACTGCCTGATTGCAGACGACACCAAAATATCCGTAATGCCTGGTGTTTCTAGAAACTTAGAGGCTTCTGTTTATATTTCCTCACCAAGTGCCATTTTCTGGAGCGTCTTTGCATCTTTTGTGCTTGTAGAGGAAGTGCTACCCCAATTGCGGTTCCTGCCGCGGCGTTCTGCAAGCAGTAAGGGAATAGAATATTTCACTGATGTGACTTCTACTCACCACTCTCTGCCTTTATTTTAATAGGTAGCCTTTAGACTTGTGGCTTGACTTGTATGCTGCAATGATTCTGTGCCTTGTAATTCAAGATTCCTGTTCTGTAGGTAAATTTCAGTAACAGAGTAAATAGTTTATCATTGTTCAAATATATTTATTTAAGTCAGTGCACGTTTTTAATGCAGGTCAGGCCTAACTCAATGGCATAGTTACCCTGGTGCAAGCCCATAACTTTTGCTTAATTCAAAGATATTTTTTGGAAAAGTTTGTGATACATTTGAGCTGTTCTTAAATAGACTTTATTTCAACAACAGGCACCTCTTTTTTTTTTTGGCTACACAAATTTACAATTTTATACTGAAGCTACTGCTGTTTTTTTAAAGATTTTTACTCTTTTAGATACTGAAATCTTGTAATTCTGCATCTTTTGTGGATATTCATAACTGGATGACAATAATTGTATGGAGAAGAAGTCCTGTGAGCAAATACTGTTGCACACATCCTATTTCTGTAGGCTCACAGTGCAGCCATCCTGGTGTTAACTGGAAGAGGGTACGGAAAGAGAAACTACCGCTTAATCAGGTTGTTTGAATTGATTGCATTATACTAGAACACTTTACCCCTGTCTAGATAACTTAATTGATTGCACAACAGTACTGGGGAGATTAATACCATTGTGAGGAAAACGAGCAGAAAGTGAACTTTGAACAGAACTATGAAAACTTCTACTGTTTTCAGAGTACCTCATTAATAGACTCATTCAAATGCCTTGTACTTCTGTGTTTTTCTGTCAAGAGGAGCAAAAATCCTGCTGGTTTGACAGTTCATTTACTCAGCATCTGATTTCCATGTGAAAGGATTCCAGGGGTGCACATATCCAGTGAACTTTTCCATTCAATGGGCATTCTCTCAGTTATGATCTTCCTTCTTTTTTTTTTTTTCTCTTTCTGTAATTTTTAGTGTGTTTTAAATAGTCCAGCGTTTCAGTCTATGATCCATTCCCTTCCCTCTACTTCTTTTTTCTGTTTTTTTTCTTTTTTTTTTCCTGTGGACAGATAACAAATACAGACTTTAAACACTCATAACTTCGCTTATGAAAACAGACAAAATCCATCTATGTGACCGAAATGAGGATTTCCAAAACTGCTCAAGATTATTTCTTAGTAGAAACGTAGTGTGTGTTACCATTCACAGAAGAGACTCTACCAAGAGACCCGTTTTAATCTTTCAGCCTGTGAATAATTTCTCAGATACGCAAGGATTTTTTTCTTTTTTTCCTTCTGAAGCCATCCACACCGAGTTGAGCAGTCCAGGAACCCCGTGTCCAAAGGATGTTATGAAGCATGTTTAGATGTATAAACGCTTTGTTCGGTTTACAGCTGTCGCTATTTATACGGAATTTAAACTAGGAAAGCCTCACTGTGCTTTGAGTGCTAATCCTTGCTGTGTAGATGAATCGTGGTGCTGCTTGGGCTAACCTAAAGGAGCAGATGGATCTCGGAGGAGGGTTCCCCGGCCGGCGCCATCGGGATGCGCGAGCGTCCTCGGCGACAGGAGCCCCAGACTTTTAAGTGTGGTACTGATACATACACTGGCAACTTGATTTTATACTATATAAGAAAAAAATGTATTACAGCTAACAATTTTTAAAAGATTTTTTTTTAAATTATGCAAGATTAAATTGTAATAAAATTTTCTTCATCTCTCTGGCTGTCTTATTAACTCCTTCAGTATATTTTAAATTTTTTTCCCTTGATGCAGCTGTTCTAAATGTAGTTCTTTCCTGTGGAAAGCCAGACCCCGTCTCTTAAATGCAATAAACGATTTTTGGTGAACTCGGAAGCCTGGCGCCTTCATTGGTCTCTCCTGGGACTGCTGTGGGGAGCTTGGGTGGCCGTTAGGGTCCATGGGTGGCCGTTGGGACGGTTGGTGG